AGTTTCGTGAACATTCCTACCAAGGTGTTTCGTTGGCAGTTGCGTCAAATTTGTATTTGGCGGTGATGTTCTGTCTTTAAGATATTAACTCCTGAAGGGGGGTGGGGAGAGAGACATCAGTGTGAGAGAGAAATGTCAGTCGGATGCCGCCTGTCCCCACCCCCGACTGGGGGTGGAACCCACAGCCCAGGCATGTGCCCTGACCGGGAATCGAACCTGTGACCGTTTGGTGCACAGGACCACGCTCCAACCCGCGGAGCCACCCGGCCAGGGCTGAGTGTTGTCCATCTGAATGCCCAGGATGAATGGGCAGTCACAAAAGCTTGCTTCTAAGCACATCGGGTGTCCGTCTGAGATTCCACTTGCATTTTAAAAAAAAAGTATTTGTGAATATTTTAAACTAGAGCTGACGGAGCCTCCGCGTTTTCAGGAGCCGCCTTCTCGGGCCGTGTGCTCCAGCCTCCATTGAGTTGGCTCTGCCGGGAGGTTCTCTGTGGGCGCCGCGGCACAGGCGGCCCCGAGCCGAGCGTGGGCCTGGCCCTCCGCCAGACAGCCGACGTCCGAGGGCCTCTCGGCCCCCGTGAGACTCCGGTTCCCTCTTCCCTCGAACGCTTCGGCCGCCAGTCAGGAGTCTTTGTGAAGATCGCTTTCCCTGCCATCCTCCTCTCCCCCACCCCCCACCGTGTTAACAGGTACCTTGGCAGGGCCGCTGAGACCGAAACACGTTCTCAGAGTCATCGAACTTGATCGACCGGTGTTTTTATAGCTCGAGATCCTCCCCACCCGGCCCCATGTGTGCGCGCCCGCGGGCAGCATTCACCTTCCCGAGCCGAGCTGTGCAGCTCGCTGGGGGTTCGCACTTTCCTGCCCTCCCTTCTCCGCCCCCATCCCGCTGGGTCCCAGGGTCGGAGAGCCCGTCGGTGGAGCCCCTCCGTTCCCCCACGGCGCTGCCTGATGGGACGCGGCGCCCAGTTCCCGAGAATTTCAGAGGAGTCGCTGTCGCGTGCCTTCCTCGGGCAGCCAGCTGCTGGGAATCGGGGAGAGGAGGAGGGATCCGTCGTTGATCCGACCTGCAGAGGGCGCCCTGTGCGCCCCCGCGGTCCGGCCCCGAGTTAATCATTAGGTGTTTCCCCAGGTGTTTGCTTTTCCCAGGGACCTGCTGATGCAGGCACTCGGCCCCTGGCTAAGGTCAGGACCCTCCCGCTCGCTGGGGTCTCTGGCCTCGTGTGTCCAGGAGGGTGCTGGGAAGAACTGGTGTGTGGGTGGCTGCCTTCTCTGTGCCCGGAGACACCCTGGCACCTCGGGCCCGTCCGGCAGGGCCTGCTGCACCCGTGGGACTGGGTACCAGCTGTGTCCACGTGTGACTGTCACCCCTGAGCCAGTGGGAGCAGCAAGGGCAGGTGTCCCTGTGGTGGGGCCACCTGCCGGTCGGTTGAGAAGGTCCGAGGGCAGCAGGACGCAGGGGACACAGGGCCCCTATTCTGGGTTGTCAGTTTTGTTTCTGGAGTTGAGTTTGAAGGCCCCCCATGACCACCCGCCCCCCACCCCCACTGGTTTTCTGCAAAGAAGACTCCACGGCTGTGCTGGCCCCGCTACTCGGGCCATGGCTCACGGCCGCAGCTGTGCTGCGCGGGGCCTGCGAGTGCCCCGTGAACACGCCCAGTCCCCACGTTTGCCCGCTCCAAGTGCTTGCCGGTCACACGGGGCCGTGCCCACGCTGGGCCGGTCGCCCCCAGGACATGGCCCTCACCCCCAGGACGGGACCTCTCATCTGCAGTTCAGGCCCAGTTCACGACCCCTGCCCCCCTTTCCCCGCCACTCCCCGGGGGCAGTGGGTGGACGGCCGGCTGCATCTCCGTGCCTCTGCTGCCCCCGGAGTTCTTCCAGGTTACAGCCACAGACTCAGCTCCGAGGAACCGCTGCTGAGGTTGTCGTGATAGTTACAGTCACCGGGGGCTTTTAAAGACAATGTTGGTGCTGGGGCCCCGTCCAGACCCCCGGTCGGACTTTGTGACACTGGACTTTGAGGAAGCCCCCAGCACCTCGCCGGGGCCGCCCGGGGGGGAGAGCCGGTGTCCCTGCTTCCGTGGGGCATCGTGGGGAGTACTCGCCTGCGTGTAATGGCGTGATATGCGTGTGCAATTCATGTTCACATCACGTGTTGTGCCACGTTGCCACGACTCACACAGAAGTGCGTGTACTACCTCACAACACCGTCATACCACGTGGTCACATGTGTGTGTTGTAATCACCGCCGTGTCACCCCACGTGTGCGTGGCACACCGCCACCTCCAGCTGTGTTACCGCGTCGGGCATGGGCATCTTCCTGCCTGCCTGGTGGGTGAGCGGGCTCATGGCACAAGTGTTACCGGACGGTGTGGCCAGCGGGTGGGTCCGAGGTCCGACGGAACCGGACTCGGAGCCCGGCCTCGGACTCCACCGCTCTCTGCCCTCCCCCGGCCTCGCGCGTCCACGGCTGGGGGGCACAGGGGGCTGGGAGGACAGAGGCCTTTGGCCGGTGCAGACGGGATTTCCCGTTTGCTCTGACATTTTAAGTCAGAACCAGGCCAGGGTGAACTTTGGAGTTTTTATTTTAAAGAAGAAAGGTGTCCTGGGTGGTTGGGGTGATCCACTGTGTGAGAGGGTTGCCTGGCCGGTGGCCCCCATGGCTGGCCTGAAGGACAGTCTGGGGACCGAGAAGGGAGCAGCTGGAGGGCAGCGACGGGTCTGTCTCCTGGCAAAGGGGCGGCAGGGTCACACCAGTGCACCCGGGTGGGGGGTGCTGAGTCTGGGAGGTTCCGGGAACACTGCTAAGGAAGGGCGTGCCGGGCCGGAGGTCCCTGCGGGGCTCTCACGCCCCCAGCGGCCATGCGGCAGTCCCCGGCATTGCCGCATCCTCCCGACTGCCGGGATGATCCAGAAACCCGTGTTTGCGCGGGGAGCCTGCAGACTGCCACACGCTGCAGACCCGGGCGGGCCCAGCAGAGCAGTGTCCGTGGGCCACGGTCCCAGCCGCTTCTCCCGGCCCAGCCCGGGACCACTCAGCCGTAGGGGGGCCCCTCCCCTCCCCCCGCTCCGCCCCTGTCCTGGTCTCTGGACGCCCTCAGCAGGGCACACCTCTGGACGGGCTCCTTTGTGGTCCCGTGGCTGAGTGTTGCTTGTGCCCGTGTGTCTGGGGAGTCCCCATGAAAGTTGGGGGGACAGTGGACGCACACCTGGTCCCAGGACCCACTGGGCAGGCTACACAGGGGACACTGTCCGGGATGTCTGCTGGCCTTCAGTGAGCTCTGGAAACAGACAGTGGGCGGTGGTCTCCCCAGACTGGGGCACGGCCAGCTGCGTCCGGCCCAGGCGGGTCCGAGCCTCCCTGACAGGCAGGGCCAGCGGCAGGCAGAGCGTCTTCCCGCCCCCGCGCCCTCCTACTGAGACGTTTCCAGCGCAGAGGGAAGAAGCATGGAGGTGATGTGGCTGCAGCCTTATCAGAGTCCCACCTCCTGTCACAGCTGCTGGCACCGCGCGAAGGAGATAGAACGTTGCAAGTGGTTAGTTAGCAGCCCTCCCGAGAGACGGCCGTCCCCGAGTGGGGCACCTGTCTCTGCCACAGATGTCCACCCCGTTGGTGGTCCAAGCTGCGTCTTCCTGCTGGCCCGCCTGCACACGTGCCCGGCGCTGGCCTCCTCCTGGGAGACACTTTCCTTGAGCTCGGGCATGTGATGTGTGGGGTCCCCCCCTCCCACGCGGAGCTGGGCCCGGTCCCTGCCACGGCTGGGCGGTCGTGGGACCAGAGCGCACGCCTTACCCAGCCAGGCCCTGGACGCTCGGGCGGCCGGCATCTGCCCCTAACCAAGGGCGGGATCCTGTGTGTCTTTCCTCCGTGTGTGGCCTGGACCTCTCTTGCAGCGCCCTCGGAGAGAGGCGTTCTTGCTGGTGTGGCCCGTCCCCCACCCACTCCGGGCACCCCCCCCAGTTCTCATTGGCTGTTACCCTCCCCTGACCCCTGCCTGGCGTGGGGGCCTCACGGTGTCCTTCTGCGTGTTCGCTGCCAGCCCGGCCCAGCGGAGCCAGCACCCTGACCTGACTCATTGCTGGGGAGCGTTCACCGCTCTGGACCGGGGCGGGGGCTGCCCCCCAGCTCCCACGGACTGTCAGGGGGCTCCGAGGCCCTGGCTTCAGCTGGCTCACGACCTTGGGCTCTGCTCACCGCCGGGCCTGGAGACGAGGTCACTTCTGAGCCCGGCCCCGCCTCTTGGTTCGTTTTTCGCACGTTTTCCTGTCGCTGCTCGGTGTGTGTGAGGCCGGGCGGGTCACTGCGGCGCGAACGTGGGCCCTCGGGGACCTGACGCTGCCCTTCGTCCCTGCCTGCGGCTCCCTCCTCAAAGACAGACAAAAAGGAGCTGTTGTCCTTATCTCGGAAAGTTTCTAGCTGCCCCAGCGGCCCTTGGGTTAGTCCCTGTGAACTGTGGTCAGGGCTGCGCTAGTGCGGCTCCTTCCGAGGCCGCTTTCCCAGCGCCGGGCGGAGCCTCAGGCCCCGCCCAGTGGAGCCTCAGGGCCCCGCCCAGGGGAGCCTCAGGGCCCCGCCCAGTGGAGCCTCAGGCCCCGCCCAGGGGAGCCTCAGGCCCCGCCCAGTGGAGCCTCAGGGCCCCGCCCAGTGCTCGCTGTGCCTGGCGCCGGCTCACGCTCGGGCCCAGATTTGGTTTCAGATTCAGGCTCGGACTCTGGCTCGGATTCGGGCTTGGACTCGGGCTCGGACTCAGGCTCGGACTCTGGCCCAGGCTCAGGCTCATGCTCGGGCTTGGGCTCCGCTGGTGGAGGGGTGCCGTGTTCCCACTGCCTGTAAGATCTGTGCGCTGCACGGGCAGGTGGCTCGGCCGGCGGTCACAGCGACAAATGCAGGCCGAGACACTGAGCGCACACCCATTCCAGTGTTAGTCGCCCCCTCCCCTCTGCCCCCTCCCCCCTCCCTGCTCGCTCTCTCACGTTCACGCCCCCCCTTCCCACAGGCGCTGGGCAGCCATGCCGCGCAGCCCCACGTCCAGCGAGGACGAGATGGCCCAGAGCTTCTCCGACGACTCCGTGGGCTCCGAGTCGGACAGCTCCAAGGAGGAGACCATCTACGACACCATCCGGGCCACGGCGCAGAAGCCCGGCAGCGCCAGGACGGGGGAGAGCCAGGGCAACACGCTGGTCATCCGCATCCTCATCCAGGACCTGCAGCAGACGGTGGGCCCCGCCCTCCTCCCGGGTCGGTCGCCGGGGCGACCCTCAGACGCTCCTGTGGGGGGCGGTGCTGCTCCGGGGTGCCAGGTGGTTCTCGGGGGTGTGTCTGTGATGCTGCCCGGCTGTCCTCTGGACTTCCATCTGCTCAGCGCTTGAGCAGGGGGTGAGCAGGTTCTGTTCCAGGTGCGGGGTGGACCGCCCCGATGGTGACGAGGGAGGTTTCCGTATGGTCTAGGGCGGGTGTGAAGGGGGTGATCTGGGTGAGGGGCGATGGGGTAGTGGGTGGGGTGTGAGTGACGGGGTGATGGGTGTTGGGTGGGGTGTGAGTGACGGGGTGATGGGTGTTGGGTGGGGTGTGAGTGACGGGGTGATGGGTGTTGGGTGGGGTGTGAGTGACGGGGTGATGGGTGTTAGGTGGGGTGTGAGTGATGGGGTGATGGGTGTTGGGTGTTGGGTGTGAGTGACGGGGTGATGGGTGTTGGGTGTTGGGTGGGGTGTGAGTGATGGGGTGATGGGTGTTGGTGGGGTATGAGTGATGGGGTGATGATGTACAGGTGGAAATCCAGACACAAACCACACATGCCGCCCTCACACCCACAGTGAGACCCGCTGTTTGATTGTGCGAGGAGAAGCAGACGGGGAAGGAAAGGCCGATTTGCTACTAGGCAGATGGCTTCTTAATGAATCTGTGAGTTAAAGGAAACAATCCCGGAACCCGGAGGGCGAAGGCTCAGTTCGTGTTTGTTCCCCTCCCCCCACCTCCCGGCGATGGGCACTTGGTGCTCTCCCTGAGCCTTCTGCAGTGCGTGGAGCTGTCGGCTGTAACAGACGGACCTCCGACCTCTGACCTCCAACCCTTCACACACAGGTGTTCCATCCATCCTCTCGGCCCTGGGGACCGGCCGGGAAGAAGTGGGGGAGGCTCTGCTATACGTGGACCTGGGGACCCACGGAATTCCAGGCAGGAGCCGGGCCCTCCCCTGGCACCCTGGGGTGCTCCTCAGGGTCCCTTGTGTGTCCAGCGGGTGAGGGGCGGAGGGAAACCCTGGGGACCAGTCCCTGCCCCCTCCACCCTGGCTTCCCTCGGGGCTGCACCTGCTACACGGCGGCCCCTAAATGCCGAAGTCACCAACGAGAAGCATGGGCAGGGACAGAGGGGCCTGAGGTAGACAGCAGCAAGGGCGCCGTTCTGTTTTTGCTTTGCAGAGGCATGCATCTTCAGCTGTTATATTTTTTTAATCTTCACCCAAGGATACACTTTTTTATTGCTTTAGAGAGGTGGAAGGGGGAGAGAGACAGCGGAAAGGAGAGAGAGAGAGAGAGAGAGAGAGAGAGAGAGATTGATTGGCAGCCTCCTGTATGTGCCCCAATGGGGAATTGAACCTGTGACCTCGCGGTGCAGGAGACCACGCTCCAACCTGCTGAGCTCACCGGCCAGGGCAGGACGCAGAGGTAGCCTCGGGCAGCGTGCGTGTCGGTGATGCACGCCTGGTGCTGCTCTGCATCTCTCAGTGAGGTCAGCGGCGTCACGTGGGTTGATTTGGCGTCACACGTGCATTGTAGCAAGCAGGCCAGTCCCCCAGCACGGCGTCCACGAAGGAGGAGAGCTGGGTGCCTCGCCGTGTACTCTCGTCCCCCGGGCTCGCGAGTCCTTTCCGTCTGCAGGGCGAGTTCGAGGGATCGTCCCCAAGCCCTCCTCCCTCAGTCCTCAGGGTGCTGCTCCTGGTATTCTTACTCCTTTGGGTGCATTTATCGGTGCCTTGATTCATTATTATTTTTTTACTGTATTCCTGAAGAATTGGCCTTCTTTTTTTTAAATAGGTTTTATTTATTTATTTTTAGACAGAGGGGAAGGGAGGAAGAAAGAGAAGGAGAGAAACATCAACGTGTGGCTGCCTCTTGTGTGTCCTCCAACTGAGGACCCAGCCCTCAACCCAGGCATGTGCCCTGACTGGGAATCGAACCGGCGACCCTTTGGTTTGTAGGCCGACACTCAGTCCCCTGGGCCACACCAGCCAGGGCCGGCTTCAGCTTCTGCAGCAGGATGTGTTCGGTGCCGGCCGTTCCGACCTCCTGATCTGTAGGTTCTGCGGGTCTCTTGTTTCAGGGGGTCCCTTCTGATCCTCAGCTCCGGGTCTGGCTGCCGGCTGGGCTCACGACTCAGGGACGGACAGCCGTTCCTCCGCGGCGTCTCCTTCTCTCACCCGCTGGCCTTTCCCCGATGGCTTTCCCCTCCCGGCAGTGCCCCCCCAGGGCGGCCCCCCCACCCCAGTTCTCCCGGACTGCGTTCTCCGGCGGGCCCACCGCACGCTGCCGCTCCTCATCACTCCTGCCTCGTTGTGGCGGCGTTATTTCCGCTTCCCATTTGCTGCCGCAGCCCCGTGCTCATTCTTTTGGAAAATTATTCTTTTGAATTGTTTGTGGAGGAGGCTTTGTGTCTTCCTGTTTTCCATCACCGTCACTCTCGGAGATCTCTCTCCCTGTAATTGGGGCGAATCTCCACCCGGAACGGAGGAGGCAGACGTCTGGGTGCTACGTGCCTCGCCGCCACCGCGTCCTCTCTCCCCCACCAGCGTCTCCGTGGTGGCCTCCGCGCCGCCTCTCCCCGCCGCGCCCCAGCCGTGTGTCCGCAGCTGGGCGTCTTTCCGTGACTCTGACCGTGTGGGGGGACTTTCCCCGTGTCCCGCGCCAAGTCGGCCTTGGCGGTCCGTCAGCCTTTCAGACGCGAGGGCCCAGGGGCGGGAGTGCTGGGTCCTCTAGGGGGCCCGGGCTCCCCGCTCTCTGCGGAGATGGTCTTGAATGCCGTGGGCTGGGGCCTGGTGCAGGGGGCCTGTCCCATTCTCCATTCTCGGGTGGGACCCCCGCCGCAGCCTGTGGAGCAGCCCCCTGCCCCCCGCAAGCAGGGGGGCCTCTGCGCACGGTGAGCCCCGTGTCTCCTAAAAGGCCCTTGTGGGCGGAGTCCTGTAGCTGGGCAGGGAGCCGGGTGCTGGAGTCCTGTGCCAAGGGGGTCCTCACCCCGGTGCCCCTTCACCTGCGGGAGGACAGGGTCTGGAGAACCTCCCTTCTGCCCCAGGTGTGGCCCCTCGAGTCAGCCTCGCTGAGTGACTTCTCTTTCCCAGGCTCCATGTCCGGTGGGGTGAAGCTGGAAACCTTGCAGCGAGAGCAGTGGTGTAGGGCTGGCTGCTGGTGCGGGGAGGGGCGGGCGGGGCGGCCCCGGGGACGTGGCGACCGCCTTCCTTCTGCCCTCTGGGTCATCGCCGAAGCACAAAGGGCTTCCTGGGCAGCGAGTGCTGACACCGGTCCATGCTCTTGGCCTTTTGAGCAAGTGGCATGTGCCAAAATGAATGGAAACTGGTTCTTGTGTTGTTTGTCTTTCTGGGGACTGTGAGTGAGGAAGTGGGGGCGAGGCTGGCCCCGGGACACAGCAGTCCGGTCCCTGACCCACGGCAGTGCTGCGTCCCAAGTAGAGCCCGGAAGAGGACGTGGTGGGACAGCCACATGCTTGCAGGGGTCTTCCCTGGGCGTGTCCAGCGCTGGCCTGTGCGCACCCACGTCCACCCGCACCCACGTCCACCCATGGGGGGCTCCAAGCTGGCTCCGCTGAAGCTGGCAGCCACGTGCGTGTCCCTGCTGTGCGTCCTGACCGGTTAGCGGAGGTCCAGGGCCCTGGCCCGCCTCCTAGCAGGAGCTCCAGGAAAGTGAGTTTCCCTGTGCTTGATTTACTACATGCTTGCATTTATTAAGTAAACGCACCTCAAGTTTGATATCGCATTTAGGAAAAGCAGTTCAGCCGCTGGCCTGACCTTTCAAGGTCAACTTATTGCCATTCACACACCCTCCCCCCACACTCAAACTCTCCCGCAAAGCAGCAGGCTCCCCGGTCCCTGCTGGCCCTGCAGTCCCCATGGCCCCGCCCCCTGGTGTCAGCTGACCCAGACGCTCCCTCATCCATCACTCGCTTCCACGTGGACTGTCAGATGTGCTTTGTTTGCAGGTGACCTTGGCGTCCCGCGTATCAGAATAGAACTCCTGGGGCAGGCGGTTCGCTCTCCTCCTTCAGGTCGTTGACCCCGTCTTGCTCTTGGCGCAGACACACCTCCGAGCTCGCGATCGGACCCGAGGCTTCCTGGGTCTTTGCCGTTGGAGGGTCTCGCCCGTCGGGCCCTGCAGGAGCCCGTGTCCCCGCGCGGTAGCGAGAGCCAAGTCCTACGGCTGTTCTCTTCTCTTGCACAGACCGGGGGGCCCTCCGCTGGGGGAGAAGGTTCCAGAAGGCCCGGGCAGGAGGTGCTCATTCCCTTGGAGCGCTCCACCTGGGCGCCTTGCTGGGGACACATCTAACATGCTGCTCTCGGCCGCTGGAGCTGAGAGCTGCGCGTGCTCCCCCGGGCGAGAGCAGAGTCGGGGTGAGCGGCCTCAGTGCGGCCTCTTCGTTGTACTCCTGGGGCTGTGCTTGGTCCCCTCGGGGGCCTCTTTCCAGAGGGGAGGCCGTGGGTCAGGGGACCCTCTCCCTCTACCTTGCCCCCGTGACATCCCAGCTCTGGGTGAGTGGAATATCGTTCACATGCCGTGCGTTTTCCCGTTGAAAGTTTACCAACCAGTGGGGTTCGGCAAATTCACGGCTGAGAGAACCGTCACCCAGTCTTAGGGCATTTTCACCGCCCGGCGGGGAGCCCATGGCCCCCGGCAGCCAGTCCTCGGTCCCCGCTCAGCCCCCAGGCCGTCTACCCACCCATCCACCCATCCGTCCACCTATCCATCCATCCACCCATCCATCCTCCTTACATCCATCCACCCATCCACCCATCTGTCCGCCCATCCTCCAATCCTTCTATCCGTCCATTATTCATCCATCTACGCATCCATCTATCCATCCTCCAATCCTTCCATCCTTCCATCCATCCTTTTGTGTTACAGAGACACATGGTTTGGATCTGTGACTCTGCTCTGTCCTTCACAGCATGCGCCTGGGTCACCGTTTTGGGCGGCGGGGGGAAGGCAGGGACCTGGTTTCTCTGTGGCTTTACTGACTGGATGCCCAGGCCAGAGGGAGCCTCCTTCCCCCAGCGCCCAGCTCCCCCTGCCTCTGTCCCCCTTGGCGACGTGGTGAGGATGATCAGCCGCCCTGCCCTGAAACGGGGGTCACACTCGACAGTGTTGGTCAGGACATCAGCGAGTCACAGATTTCGTAGAGCCGGGGCGGGGGAGGGGGACACTGGAGCCAGTCGGGGCTCGACCACGTGGGTCCTCCTTCCTCCCGTCCGCCAGCTCGTTAAACGGGCGAGAGGCTTTATTTTCATGTGAATAATTAGAAACAGTGCGACCGGCATCAGTGTTGTGTGCTGGGAGGGTTCTGTGCGGCCCCCCCGTTAGATGTTACTCGGGGTAACGCGTCACGTGTGGGGGAGGTGGACCCCGCTCACCGGGGTCCCTTCAGCCCACGGGACGGAGGTCTGACTGACTCCGTGACTCCGTGTTCCCTTCCGCTCACACCGAGAGCTAATACCCACGTAAACCTCTGTGAGAAAACGGTGTCTGGGGACAGGGCTAGAGCCCTGGCACACTCTGTGGAAGGCTTTGGCGCTGCCCCGGTGTGGCCAGCCGGCTGTGGCCCAGAGGCCACGCCGGCGCGAGCAGACGGCCCCTCCTGCACCTCTGCCCCAGGCTGGTGAGGGTCACCCAGAACGCGGCAGTGTCGCCGGGGCCCCGATTCAGCAGTGTTTAGTTTTCTGCCTGAAACCACCCAGGAGCGAGGCTCCTGGCCAGCGCCGTGGCCCGGCGGTGGGTTTCTGCGACTCCTCACGCGGGCTCCGGCTCCGGCTCTCCTTCCCTGCGGCTCTGCCCCCCCATGGACCAACCCCTGCTGGGTGGGCGGGGCTCTGTTCCGCAGCGCCTGAAGCAGTCGTGGTCTCCCCCTCCCACCTCGGATCCACTCTGCGACCCCTTGCCCTGTCCGCCTTCCTGATTCCTGGCTTCGCCCGTGATGGTGGGATGGGCCGAAGCTCGTTGGCTCGGCCTTGAGGACCCCGTGATCCCAGCTCTGCGACTCGGTGCGGCCCTGAGACTGGTCCCTGAGCCGCGCCCCCCGTGAGGCTGGGGACACCGCCGTTGCCTGGAACGCTGCGTCTCAGCGGGTACAGAGACGCCTTCTGTCTGTGCTCAGGACTAATGTCCCCCCAGCCGTCCCCCCCAACCCAACGCCTGCCGGGTTCTCCTGCCCCTCCTGCTCCAGGCAGTCGGCTCCGGCAGCAGCCGGTCCTCCGCTTGCTGAGGGCCTGCCGGCACCGTGGGACCCAGGGAGGGGAATGAACTCTGCCCCAGGGGGCCCTGCCTCTCATTTCACCGTCACCTTGGCGACCACAGGGGAGCGTTAGTTAGCGATTACAAACCTCGGGGACCCACGGTCTGCCCGCCGCGTTGCCGTGGCGCTGGGCGGCTGCAGTGTGGCTCTGACTGTCGGGAAGTTGGTGTGCCGACCGCAGGGCCCTGTGCTGGTGCTGCAGCTCGGAGGGCCCGGCTCGCTCCCGGATGGCGGGGCCCCCGGTCGGGCTGCCTTCCGGTCAAGGTCACGGCGTTTCTGTTCTACACCGACCTCTGGTTTCAAGCTTCGTGTGTCATCGTTGACAGAGTTTCAGGGTTCACCGCTGGGTCCCAGCCCGGGGGGTCTCTGTCCGCCGCAGAACGCGTCCCTTCATGTGGACAGTGGCCCCCGGGACCGCCCAGCTGTGGTCCGGGCTGCCCTCCGTGTGGCCGGTTCCACAGTGGGCAGCGAGGGAGGGCCTGCTCCAGGCCCCCTCCCAGGGTCCCTCCCCGTCCCTGGCTGGTGGAGCCCCACCCACTCCCACCTTCACGACATCCTGTGTTGCCTGTCCCATCTTCCCCTCGCAAGGACACAGTGACATTGAGTTCGGGCCTCCTCTAGTGCCCTCACCTTAACTGATCACACCCACGAAGCTCTGTTTCCACGGAAGTCACATGCCCAGGTTCAAGGACGTGGGGCTCACCCCCCCTGGGGACACAGTGCTGCCCACCCAGCATGGCTCCCCTCTGCCCCCTGGGTCCTCACACCCACCCTGCAGGCCCAGGGGAGGCCCCGATGCCCCTCGAGGAGACCGCGCCTGTGGGCGGGTCGACCTGCTTAGAACCATGAGGCTGGCAATGTGATTGGGAGGCAAACCTGAGCCCACTGGCCTGGGAGCTCCTGGTCCTTCTAGAAGTTTCTCAAGGCAGCCCCCTGAGTGTTTTTGGAGCAGGACGTGTCTCCATTGTGCAGGGTGGCCCGTGAGCCACCCAGACTCCGTCCCCAGTCCGGCCACTACGGGGCAGCGGCACCGGTGTCTGGGACCCCTACAGTGAGTGCCACATGTGCGCCCCGCTCCCCATCCCCCTCCCCCCGCTCACGGGGCCCTGCCTGCCGCTGCCGGCCACCAGCGGGGAGCCTCGGGCCTCGCTCAGGCCTGGTTTCCAGGGGGACCTGACCCGGGTGTCCGTGTGGTTGGACACAGAGGCCGACGGGGACGGGCGTGTCACCACTGGCCCCAGGTGGTCCCAGCACACAGGGCTCCCGTGTGGCACGTCCCGTGTTCTTACTCAGCCGGGGACGGCAGTCGCCCGCGTGTGACCCTGGACTCAGGCCTTGACATCGGAGAGGGGCAGCGGGAGTGTTCACAGGAAAGGGGTCGAGTTTCCCCGTTGGGGGGGGTGGTAGGGCCTGGCCGCCCGCTGAACCCAGCTCCTTCGAGGGCATCGGGAAGTCGTACCCAGCAGGGCGGAGCCCACCTGGGCTGGGAGGACAGTGGGGGGCCCTTTGCCCCGCCCCCCCACCCTGGGGGCTGCAGAAACCCCCGTGGACAATGGGTCCTGGCCTCGTAGTCAGCCCATCTCCGTGCAGTTCTGAGGGCTCTCGCGGGGACAGAGCGAGTCCTGAGCCCCTGCTGGTTTCGGGAGAGCGTCCCAGCCTGCGGCGGATGGGCCCTGGCGTGTGCGGTCCCGGCCTACGGGGGCGTCCTGCAGAAGGGACCTGGGCACGGGAGTCACCCCAGCTGGGTGGCGCTGCTCCAGTTTGGGAGTGTTCCCGGTTGGCCTGTGTCAGAAACCAGCTCTGGCGGTGAGATCTGCGCTTCCCACAATCCCTTCCTCTGTGGTTTGGGGGCGCTGGCGTGCGGCCAGCAGTGTGCCCTGGACTTCCCCACCCGCGAGGTGACCCGTCGGGACCTCCACCTGCACCTGAAATTGATGTAAAGACGGTCACGCTCTCATTTGCTCGAGTCTCGGTTCTCCAAGCGGGTTCCCGGGCCAGTGGCAGCGGCAGCGGCAGCGCCGCCGGGAGACTCGTGAGGCGTGCGGCTCTGGGCGCCAGCTGGACCCGCTGGCCCCCATGCTCTGCCGGGCAGGCGGCGGGGGTCAGCCGTCGGAGCTGTAACAGGCACTGGGGTGTGAGATGCTCCCTGCAGGTGGGAGGGGTGCCCAGGGTGGACTGGACAGGGGTATAACTAATGCCTGGAGACGTGAGTCCATGGCAAGGTCAGGGCCGCACAAACCTGTGGCAGGTTTTACATCTGCCAGAGGCAAGAGGGCCTCCTTCTCCACCCTGAAAGGCCTCAGGGTCCAGGACGGAAAGGCCTTGGCCGTCTCTGGCCACGTGCCCCGCCCGCAGGGCTGCTCAGGGGGCGCCCGGGCCGCTCATCGGGTGTCTGTGTCCTTCCCTGCAGAAGTGCATCCGGTTTAACCCCGACGCCACGGTGTGGGTGGCCAAGCAGCGGATCCTGTGCTCGCTGAACCAGAGCCTGAAGGACGTGCTGAACTACGGGCTGTTCCAGCCGGCCAGCAACGGGCGGGACGGCAAGTTCCTGGACGAGGAGCGGCTGCTGCGGGAGTACCCGCAGCCCGCGGGCCAGGGCGTGCCCTCGCTGGAGGTACTGCGCCCGGGGCCCCGTGGGAACCTTCGTCTGGGGTCTGGGGTCTGGGGGTCGTGCCCCTGTGGGCTGGGCATTGCCGGCCGTTGTGCGTCGCTTAGGCGTCTGTTAGCTGGCTCCAGATGGGACGGGTTGGCGGGGCCGGCGTCTCGCTGTGAGCCCGTCACGGGTCCCACTCAGGTGCACGTTGTCAGGACCTGTGAGTCCCGGGGATGCAAGTGGGTCTCGCCACTGCCGCCCGAGTCCGTCTTCCTGCCCTCAGGCCCGGGGTGGCCGGTGGCAGCCAGTGGCCTTCCCGTGGTTAGCAGAAGCCTGACCTCCCTTCTGGTTCCTGCCCCTGGAACGGCCAGCGGGCTCTCTGAGCGGCCCTCGGGCCTCCGTGGCGGCCGGCCTGGCGCGGACACGCGAGTTGGCAGCCTCATCCGTGTCCCCGTGAGGTGTGACCCCAGCCCCCACCTTTCTGACCCCTGGGTGCTGCACCCCAAGGTGACATGTCGCCTTTCCACATGATGTGATGGGACAGTCACACGAGTAGCCAGCAGTGGTCATGTCTCCTCTCGCAGAACACGTCACTGGTGTTAGTGACCGTGTTTGTTTTTGCCTAAGTGGGGACGGCGGCAGGCATGGGAGCCCCCTCCGTGGGGTCTGCGGCCTCCGCGATGGGAGGTGACTCTGTAGTCAGAGATGTCGTGGGCACAAAAGCAAAGCCAAGGTCAACCTCCCGGCGAGAGCCATGGGCCCTGGCATACCCTTTTGTCACTGGAGGAAGAGCCCACCCACTGGAATTCCCTCCGACCGTCTAGGCGTAGGCCCATGGCAGCGACCTCTGTGACATCTCCTGACGTCACTCGCAGGGACCAGAGGCACGCAGCCGCAGGATGTGGGGCGCAGCACCCCTGTCCCGGCTGAGTCTGGGGTCAGGAGGCGGGCGGAGGGACCCTGCAGAGGTCCCGCCCCCCGCCAGGCCGGGTCCGGGAGGTGGGCGCCTGCCTCCAGGAACCCACCGGCCGTCCACAGAACTTCCTCGTCTCGCCGCTGGTTTACTTTGGCACGCACAAATCAAGTTTCGGTCCGTGCGGCAAAGGAATTTTTCCTGTGGTTGAATTGCTGTGTTGTTTGGAGCAGAGGAGAATGCGGTTGTCCCTCTGGAAACTTTATACGGGATTAGACTTTCGGTTTCAGGATTAGCTCACCGGCTGCCAACACCTCGGCCTCAGGCGGGGGGCTGTCGCCTCCCCTGTTCTTGTTGAAGCTCCTCGGACTGTGACGGGGTCCGGGGACTGGAGGGGTGAGGGGGGTGGAGGGGTAAAACAGCATTTGCCCAGTGCCAGTTCTGTTCCTGGAAACTCACGCCCAGTTCTTGGGCCTGAACGGAATGGACTATCTCCACGTGGCGGATGAGGGGACTGCACCTGAGCCGGGGGAGGTGTCCAGCCGGAGGCATTCCACCGGCAGGCCCGTGGTGGGGCTGGCATCGGAACACGGGTCTCAGCTCAGAACCTCGGGGACTCCCACACCGTCGTGAGCGTCCTTCCGGAGCCTTCCGCAGCGTGCCCGGCACCTCCCCCTCCAGAAGGGGTCAGGGTGCCTGGGAGAGGCCACAGGGGAAGGTGCCGGGGCATCAGGAGGTGGCCGCGAGGCCATGCCTTCTTCTGGGGCACAGTCACTCGATCTGAGCAAACGGGACCCCCGGTTCCTGGGACTCGCAGTTCACAGGAGAGGCTGCTGGTCAAGGGTGTGAACCGTGGCCCCCCAGTCCCCGGCAGAGGCCGCAGTGCGGCAGGAGGTGGTTTCACCAGGCCGGGGCTTTCTCACGCCGCCTTAACTCAGGCTGACAATGCAGAAGAAGCCTGGGTGTGTGTGGTGGTGCCAAGGCCACCCCAAGGGCAGGCAGACGGCCATGGAGGCTCGGTGAGCCCCGGTGATGCCGCGGGCGGCCAGCAGGCGGGCGGGCCAGCTCCTCAGCGGAGGACACGGAAGCCTTCGTTTCTTTTCACGGCTTCCTGGCCCAGGGGCCGCAGGATCTCCGCAGAGGTTGCCCCTCGCGTGTCCCGGGCCCCGTGGGCCGACACAGCTCACAGTTCCTGTCACCCCAGCGGGTCTGTGGTGGAGCCTGGCCCCGGGGACGGGCCCGGGGAGGGCTGCGTGTCCTCTGAGGGGCTGGGTGGCATTCTCACGTGTCCTTTCCGCCTGTCCCCGTGCCAGTTCCGATACAAGAAGCGGGTGTACAAACAGGCCCATCTGGACGAGAAGCAGCTGGCCAAGCTCCACAGCAAGGTACGCGGGCGTCGCCCACACGGCTGGCGCTCTGTCTGTCCGTCCGTCCGTCCATCTGTCCATCCTCCCCTGAGATCGGGGCAGCTCTCCGGGCAGAGGGTTCTTCTTCCCGCCCGACGTGACCACACAGATGGCCCCACGGGGTGTCCGTCAGAGCCCCCCCTTAAACACCGCCGTCCTCTCCTGTGTCACGAGGGGCTGCCAGAGGACAACGTGGGAGGGGGATACTGTCACTCCGTAGAGGGGGACCCACTTCATGCTCGTCCCCTCCGGATGCCCCCCTACTTCTGGGAGGAGGGGTGTCCCTTGCTGGCCAACTAGGCGCCGGCCCCAAAGCAGGTCTCAGCGGCCGTCCTTTGTGCAATGACTGCGCCACCTGCGTGAGCTGCCGAGGGAAGACACGCACAGGGACAGCTGGGGACGTGTCCCTGCCCCTCAGGGACCTACGGTCATTTCGAGCCCATGAGGTGGTAATGCCTCCCGTCACCTTGAATCGCTTGGTGACCAGGCCCCCCTGTTCCTGGCCACGTGGTCACGGGGTTCACCCGAAGGTGGATCGGCCTGAGGGAGCAGCTGCCCCGCGGGTCCTCCGTCGAGGCTGCTGCCAGGCAAGGGATGAGACAGCGCAGACTCAGGTCCAGGGGCCTCATTCGTCAGGGGCGGAGTCAGAGGGTCTGGGCGGCCCCTGGACACCGTCCCCTTTCACAGTGTCCACGGGACTCACCCCTGAGAGAGCAGAGGACCGTCCCGGGGCTCTCGGCAGGGACGGGGAACGGTGAGGCTTCTCCCAGGACAGGCCGGCCGTGCTTGCCACGGGCCGGGCTCCGTGCTCCCCCTGGGGACCCCGGGGCAGGGCCCCGCTGCTCCGCCAGCCCCGGGGTCGGCGGTGCACCCGCCAGGGGCGGCTCCCCTCCGCGGAGGAGGCCTGGGGGCACCCTGCAAGGAACCTCCCCGTGGCCTCCGAAAGGCATCTCTCGTGGGGACAGCCTTGTTTCTTATTTTCCTCCTTAGACCAACCTGAAGAAATGCATGGACTACATTCAGCACCGCTCGGTGGAGAAGATCGTGAAGATGCTGGACCGAGGCCTGGACCCGAATTTCCACGACCTGGACACTGGAGGTGAGAGCGGATGTGGGGCCTCCCCTGGACTGGGCCGGGCGAGGCCGGGCGGTTCTGTGTTCCGATCACCCGCGTGTGTGTGTGTGTGTGTGTGGGCGGCACCCACGCTCCTGGGTTCTTAAAGGGCCTTCTCGCTGCTCCGTGAGCTCTGGAGGAGGCCGTGTTTGCTCCCGCGGCGTCCCCAGCGGCCTGCCCGTGCCCGGCAGGTGCTCTGTACTTACCTCTGGACTAAGTGAGTGAATGAGTGAACGAATGAATGAATGAAGGAGTGAATGGTAGCATGCGTGGAGCTGTTGCCAGCCAGCCTGGGGAGACAGGCATCCACACGCAAAGGTCTTGCGCCCCCTGCTGGAAGCCAAGTCCCTCTGTTCGTGCGGGAGGCAGCGGCGAGAGACTCAGAGTCCCACTGCTGAAGTTCCCGACTGGACCTCCCTCCCTCCCTCCCTCCCTTTCTTCTCTTTCCCTCCCTCCCTTCCTTCTCTCTCCCTCCCTCCCTCTCTTTCTTCTCCCTTTCTAACAATTCCAAGTGAGCACTACCTTTCCTCGAATCTCGTGTTTTCTCTCTCCCCGGGTGTCACTGCGGCAGGGTTGACTGACAGGTGACGTGGTGTGAGTGTCAGGCACACGACGTCATGAGTCGCCATCCGTGTGTACTGCGGAGTGGCCGACCCCCCGTGAGTCGGCTTGTCATCCCTCCCCTCGCAGGGTCACGGTTCACTTTCTCAGGAGGCGACCTTTGTTTGGGATCTGCTCGCCTAGCCACTTTCACAGGCGCAGGGCAGCGCTAGCTGGTACACCCCCGGACTCCTCCGTCCTAGAGCCGAAGTCTGTGCTTTTTGACCTCTTCACCTGTCCCCCACCCCCGCCCCGCCTGTGGCAACCCGCTGCCAGTCCTGTCTGTGTGTGTGTGTGTGTGTGTGTGTGTGTGAGTTCCGTGCATTCAGATTCCATCCACCAGCGGGATCGCACAGGGTTCGTCTCGGTGTGTCTGACTCACCTCACAGAGCACGGTGCCCTCGAGGTCCATCCCCGTTGTCACCGACGGCAGGGTTCCCTTTCCTGTGTCTGGGTAAGACCCCTCTGGGGGGCTGGGCCGTTCTATATGCTGGGTGCTGTCCGCTGCACCGTAGAACATTCCCAGTCCCCACCCACAGATGCCAGTAGCCCCGCCCCTCTGCTGTGACAGTCACAAATCTCACATCACCAGCAGCGTCCCCTGAGGCTGGAGGCACAGTCCTGAGAGCCCTGTGCGGGAGGGCCAGGCTGGGGCTGTCGTGCAGAGCCCCGACAGCCTGTGACTCTCAGACACCCTCGCTGGGCCGCGCCTCTGTCGCCCTGTCGGTGTTCTCTGTGCAGGAAACGTCCCCACCCCTGTCCCCACAGTCCCTTTCTCATCCCGGAAGATCCCCACTTTTCTCTAAACCCCCGGCCCGAGGTGGCTGCTCCCCTAGGAATCCGACAGACCCGTGCTCAGCGGCAGTGGCGAGCAGCGGTGTCACTGGGGACGTGGGGCGTGTGTGGTCCCCGTCAGAGACGAGGCATGAACTGCGTGTCGCACACGAGGGCCGGGCCGGGCTCCACACCACAGGCCAGCGGCAGGGAGTGGGCTGAGTCCCCACTTCTCCCCACGCACACCCGAGAGGCAGGGAGGCTTCCACGGCGCATTTGAACGCCCTGGGTTAATAAAGCCCAGTACAGGGAGACCAGGGAATGCGGGGACTAAGAACAGAGGGGGGTCTCCGTCTAAACTCAGGGCGGGGGCGCCTCTCCTGAGGATGTGGCCGCGGCGGGTGGTCGGAGGGGGGTCCGGCTGCTGTCGGGGGGCCCAGCCTGCTCTGAGAACGCGCTCGACGACAGAGGGACTCCTCTCTGACGGTCCCCGTTTCTGGTCCCGGGGCCTCGCACGCTGTCCGGTTGGCCAGGAGCCTGTCTGTGACGGCACTCCTCTCCGGCCGACCACGTCACAGGATCGCGCCTGCCTTGGCAGTGACGGTGGGGGGCCCGTGACGGAGACCGAGCGGGAGGAAGGATACATTGTAACGGATGTTGGCATCCTCCGTGGCAGCCAGTGGCACGCTGGTCCGGGGTCACCTGCCCAGGGGGCGGGCCCTTCTTACCCCGCTCCCCTCAAAGGCGGCTTCCGTCCCACCGGGTGTGTGGGTCCTTCATCTCACCCTGTCACCAGGGCGGTTCGGGCCTCTGCCCGGCCAGACCGAGAGCTCCCGGGGCACGACTCCGTGTCTCTCTGGGTCCCGGCCGCCGCAGGCCCGCATCTTCCGAGATGCCCGGGGACATCCGGCAGTCAGCTCTCTGGCTCCTGCTGGGTGGGGCGCTGGGATGACCCATGGGGTGACAATATGGAAACCCAGCCTCCGCCCCCGTTTCCATCTGCACGTGACCCCGGGCATGGCTGCCAGCACCACAGCGAGGCCTGAGCCCCGCTGGCTGACTGCGTGGACTGTGGGGGTCACGGGCGGGTGGGGGCGGTGGCACTCCAGGGCCCCTTTTCAAGTGAGTCCTGTGACCTGGCTGCTGTCCCCCGAGTGCCGGTCCCCAAGGGTGTGTGTGTGTTTGCATCCGTCAGAGACGCCCCTGACCTTGGCGGCCCAGCTGGACGACCCCGCGGAGGTGATCAAGGCCCTGAGGAACGGCGGGGCGCACCTGGACTTCCGTGCCAAAGACGGGATGACGGCCCTGCACCGAGCCGCCCGAGCCAGGAACCAGGTGGCCCTGAAGGTACCGTCTCAGCCCGTCTGCGCGGTCACACCCCCTCCGTCCCGTCCTCCGGGCCTCACTGCAGTCACCCCCAGCGACCCCGGATTATTCCACCTGGAGCTCGGGAGTGCGGCCTGGATCCCCTCCCCTGTCTGCGGGGTGCTCTTGCTTTTAGCACCGGCTGGTCACGGGGTCAGTCTTCCAGTGTCATTCACGGGCTGACGACAGCCAGCTAGGCCAGTGCTGACCCCTCCCTGGTGGGAGGCTGCAGGCCCAGCCCGTGGGCATCGAGCCCACCTTGCTCCCCCACAGCCCTCGGGTCTTGGGGAGCCAAGGCTGGGGTGCGGATTTCCCACTCCGCTTCCTGCCCACCCTCCTGCGTGCCCTCGACCTGGCCTGGCGCCCTGTCTGTGGATAAAAGTTTGATGTCCCAACCCCCTCCCATCAGAGCCCCAGGATGGGGGAGGGGGCCCCCAGCTGAGGGCCCACCCCGAGGTGGTGCTTCTCACCAAGGTCACGGGTTTCTCTGCTTCCGTCAGCCGTACCTTGCCAGGGTCATCTTCAGAAGTCATGTGTTCAGAACGACCCTGCTTGTCCCCCTCCCCCAGGACGCACACGGAGACACAGGGCACCGTGTTTGCAGGTCCAATAGCTCCTTTCCTTCTTTGCCTACCAATGACGTCTTTGTCGTGCGGCTCTCCGCGGGTGCACAGGGGTCAGAGGGCACAGGCAGGTGACCCTGGTTCATGTCAGTGAGGTCTCCTTATCTCCCAGACGTAGGAGCTCGCCCTGTGTGCCTGGCGCCATGTGCTTGCGGGGCTGGAAACCTTGTTGTTAGAGCTGGGACATCGCTCTCGCTGGACAGCCCAGGGAAAGCCCCAGGACCAAGGCGCTGGGTGGCCTGGGGGGCGTGGCCCGTGAGCCTCATCCTGGATGGCTTCCCTGCCTGCCCGAGGGGCTGTGAGAGCCGTGACCGCACTTCCGGTGTGTTTCTCCAGACTCTCTTGGAGCTGGGCGCCTCCCCGGACTACAAGGACAGCTACGGCCTCACGCCGCTGTACCACACGGCCATCGTCGGGGGCGACCCCTACTGCTGCGAGCTGCTGCTGCACGAGCGCGCGGCCGTCTGCTGCGAGGACGAGAACGGCTGGCACGAGATCCACCAGGTAGCGGCCGGCCCGGCGCCCCGTGGGCCTGGCGCCCGGTCCCCGAGACACTCGGGTCTGTTGCCGGCGTTTCCATAGCTGGGGATATTTACCCAGAAGTACACGTTTCTGACTCCTCTGGGGGAAATGGGAGGTCAGGCAGGACTGTCGCATTTCTGCACGGCAAGGTGACTGGCGTCGTGAGCCCTGCAGGTGCGCACTGCCCTGGGCGCCCCTGAGAGCGAGGTGCCAGGCATGTTCGGGGTGCAGGTGACCCAGGGCCAGGCCCCACTTCTACGCACTCAGGAGGCCTGTTTCCCAGGCCCCTCCTGGCCACAGTGGGGTTGAGGGGTGTCAGCTGCCGTCCTGGCAAGAAGCGAAATCCACCCGATGCCTCAGGTGGACCGACTTTCAGGGACCGAGGTCACGGAGTGGAAATTGTGTCCCCAGGTTCCGGGGAGCCGGGCGGAGGAGGAGGGAGGTGTGTGCTGGAGGGACCCCGGGAAATACCCCAGCCTTGCCCTTCTCCCGCCCTCCTATTGGCTGAGGCCTGCCAGAGCCAGCCAGCTGGGGAGCCCAGGGGTGCAGGCCCCAAGGTCAAGGTCTCTGGGTGGAGGAGGGTGGACAGTAGGTCTGGGGGAGCACACTGGAAACACCCAGCTGGGGGCCGAGGGGACAGGCTGGGACAGGAAGGGGGCTGACCACTCTCTGTGTTTCTCTGTTGGCAATGACAGTCATTGATCCCCAGTCTGTTTCCCTCCACCACCATCACCTTATGGTCCTGCCCCCCCGGGAGGGTCACGCACCCCCCCACACACACACAGTGGTCAGAGGGCCGAGGGGTGCCGAGGTGCAGCAGGTGGGCTGTGGGGTGCAGAGGTCCACGCTGCCTGGCCTTTCTCATGCTTGGCCAGTCCTGGTTCATCAGCACCCCGAGGCCTGTGGGGCAAGTGGGGTTTCTGCTGGAGGTGGTGCCCAGGGGCATGGGCCGTGACGCCTGCCCCCTGGGTCTCAGGGTGCTCATCTGTGAGGTGGGCGCCAGCAGGGCCTCCCATACTCTCTGGCCACAGACCTGGGTGCTCAGCCCCTGCGTGCTCAACGGCAGAGCCCGTAGTTTCTGCCACCCAGGTGGGCACCCAGTTCCTGCTCTGGGGCGATTGGGGCAGGGACGGTGGTCCCCAATGTCAGCATCCGATACGGGGCGAGGTGGTCGTGGCCCGTGCTCTGGGTGGTTGGTTTGTACCTGGGAAGCGTCCTGGGGGGCAAGGTCCTCACTATCCCCAGGACTGACTCACCACAGGAGGGGTCGTCCCTGCAGGAGAGCGAGCTCCCCCCCTCCCGCCCCCAGCGTCAGAGCACCAGGGACACAGGAAAGGGGGCCGACAAACGCAGCCCAGGCCCAGCCGCATCGCCCCCAGGCTCCTGCGTCCCAACCTCGGAGAGTTCCCGGAGCTCTGGCCTCAGCTCCCGGCCTCGGCCAGCCGAGCCCCGCCTCTCTGCCCACGGAGGCCTCGCTCTCGAAAATCTCACTTTCCTCGTCTAATGCACGGGACAGTGGCGGCCACCGCCCTGGTCTTTAGGGGCGGCCACCCGCTGGCTGTCCTTCTCTGAGGTGCTGGCTCCTGCGCGGGGTTCTGCTCCTGGGCCGGTGGCGTGGATCACGGCGCCCAATACCGAGGCCGCCCAGCCTCTTGGCCCCAGGCTGCCCTTCCCCGCCTTCCCCCCCTTCTCCCCAGCTCTGCATTTGGGGTCCTTGACTTCCCGTTTCGCTTCCTGTTGGCGCCTCCCCCTCGGAGATGGCCCACTGCCCTCTAGTGGTGGGTCTCTTTCCCCAGTCTGGGAAAGCCCGTTGTCCTGTGCAAGCACCTGGCGATCCAAGGGAGGCGACCACAGGGACCGCAGGCAAGTCGCTGCCTCCCGAGCCTGGCTGTCCTCACCTGCGGTGACTGTCAGTGACGTGAGGGACGCCAGGTGCCCACAGAGACCGGAGGCTGGTCGGCCGTGCTGCTCCTCCTAGATTTTCGCCCTCCCCCCTCCCCGCTAGGGCCCCAGACACTGCGTGTGCACCGCCCTTCACACCTGGGAGCCACCCTAGCAGAGGTGTGTGCCGTTCCCCTTCTCAGATGTTAACAGGCCGGGCGGGGGCCGTGAGTGGCTTGCCCAAGGCCACAGGGCCAGTGGGGGGTGGGGGGGCTGAGCCTGCTCCCTCCCCCTCCCGCTCCGCCAACACCCGGGGGGTTCTTTATCCGGCCTGCAGGCTTTCAGCCAGAAGCCGCCCCTAACTCGGCAGCGCCCGAGGGGCAGCCGGGCTTTGCTTGCAGACAGAGGGCTGGTTCTGGCTCCGCCCTTTCAGGCAGAGCACCTCGGAGTCCTGGGGTGTCCAGGTTCTGCTTTTCAAGTCTGTCCCTCTGTCTGTCCAGCACCCTGGGGTGTGGATAGCTCCTCCCAGCTGTCTGGCTCCTCTTCCTGTGCAGGCATCCCAGGCGCCCACAGCCAGGCCTGCCCGCAGGTGTTACAGGCAGCTGGTCTACTCTCCCCGTCTGCTGGGCCCAGGCCCAGCGTTTCCCTGCATCACGGCTGGGGTGCTGCGCCCCCTGCAGGCTGACTTGGGAAGAGCGCTTTCTTGAGCTCACATCTGCAAAAGATCTTACCCGTCGTTACTCCCATCAATCACCCTGGTATTTTTCCTGATTACAAGAGAAACACCTGTTCGACACGGAAACCTTTCAGCAACAAAGGAGTATAAAGAAGGGAGTGGAAAATACCCAAATGCTTCCTCACAACTTGAGAACTTTGAGGATTCACTTTGTAGTTTTGCTAAGTAGCTTCAGGTCCACCAACACACCTTCCCTGCCCCCAGCTCCCACCGGAATGAGTGCGTGAAGAATGAGTGAAGGAATGAGTGATGAGTGAGTGAGTGAGTGAATGAATGAGTGATGAGTGAGTGAGTGATGAGTGAGTGAGTGATGAGTGAATGAATGAGTGAACAAGTGATCAGTGAATGAATGAACAAGTGATGAGTGAATGAGTGATGAATGAGTAAATGAGTGGATGAATGAGTGAACAAGTGAGTGAATGAATGAGTGAACAAATGATGAGTGAACAAGCGATGAGTGAACAAGTGATGAGTGAACAAGTGATGAGTGAGTGAGTGAATGAGGGAACAAGCGACGAATGAGTGAATGAGTGGCGAATGAGTGAATGAGTGAATGAGTGGCGAATGGGTGAATGAGTGGCGAATGGGTGAATGAGTGGCGAATGGGTGAATGAGTGGCGAATGGGTGAATGAGTGGCGAATGGGTGAATGAGTGGCGAATGGGTGAATGAGTGAGTGGTGAATGAGTGGTGAATGAGTGGCGAATGAGTGGTGAATGAGTGGCGAATGAGTGGCGAATGAGAGGCGAATGGGTGAATGAGAGGCGAATGGGTGAATGAGTGGTGAATGAGTGGCGAATGGGTGAATGAGTGAATGAGTGAGTGGTGAATGAGTGAATGGATGAGTGATGGATGAGTGATGGATGAGTGAGTGAATGACAAGTGAGTGAATGACAAGTGAGTGAATGAGTGACGAGTGAGTGAATGAGTGAATGAGATGAATGAGTGAATGAGATGAATGAGTGAATGAGATGAATGAGTGAATGAGATGAATGAGGGAGTGATGAATGGGTGAATGATGAGTGAATGAATGGACTGATAACTGCATGAATGAATTAATGAGTGAATGGATGAGTGAGTGAGTGATTGGATGAGTGAGTGAGTGATTGGATGAGTGAGTGGGTGATTGGGTGAGTGAGTGAGTGAGTGAATGGATGAGTGAGTGAGTGATTGGATGAGTGAGTGAACGGGTGAATTGCTCACTGGGCATTTTGCCTGCGGCCTTTTCTTCTTCACCGGCTAGCCGGCTTCCCATTCTCAGGAAGAGCTTTCTCTTCCTGGCGACTCACTTATCAGCAACAGTTTACTCAGCAGGTCATGCTCTGTCACGGTGGTCTGCGTCGGCCAAGGGGAGCCCCTCGGGATGGCTGCTTTGTCCTTGGGACATGTCCCCACTGGGTTTCGAGCACTGTCCTTGTGGCTCTCCTTCTTTTCCAGCCCGAAACCGGCCGCTTGTCCAGGGAGCCTGGCTCTCTCAAGCAGAGAGTGGTGCTTAGAGCCCAAAGCTGGGCCTCAGGTGTGCTCACTGCCCCCGGGCTGGTGCTGGGCCCAGGCGTGCTCAGGAGCGGGAGTTCCGGACGTGTGCCCCCGTGTACACGTGTGTCCACAGACTTTCATTGTTACGCCTCTGTGTGTTGAAAGCCCTGTGTCTGCCCTGGTTGTCTCCTGCGTCGTATTGGTCACGAGAAGCTGGCTTCGTGGTCCTTCATTTACTTACTCAGCAGCCAGTCTACTGGCCCCTCTGGTCACCACCCCTGGGTGCCCCCCACCCCTCCCGCCGCGGCTGCTCCCCCTGAGAGCACCGCCTCCATCAGGTGACAGTGGCCGTGCACAGAATCAGCATGGGGGCGGATGTGCTTTGAGCAAGTGGGCGGGGTTTAGGTTGCGGATGGTGGGAGAGTGTTGTGTTCTAGAACCTGTGTGAACCTCCTGCTGGAGAGAGTGTGGAAGGGGAAGGAAGCCCCCCAGCCCGCCGGTCCTCGGACCCTCCGCTCGGAGTGAGGGGCTCTGCTTCCCCCCTGGGCACCAATCCCACTGTGACCCTGGGTGAGGAGGGAGGGGCGCCGTGCACCGACCCCATGTGAAACCTCACACAGCTGGTTTGGGGGGTGACGGGGAGCAGTGAGTCTGCACCCAGCGCTCCTTGTTTTTACGCTGATGCAGTGCCCTTCCTCCTGGCGGCGGGACAATCAGATTACGCTGTAGCCAGGGCTTGCCCCCGAGCAGCCGCTGGGACCGTGCGACAGCTGAGGCTCCTTGACTTAAGGAACAAGGATCCCAATTCAAACTGCTGAAGGAACAATAAAAATGATGCTCAGTCTCCATGTCCGGAAAAGTCCCAGCATTGTTGTAGCCGAGAGGGGCTCGGACAGTGTCCCCTTGGCTGCCTCAATCTCTCTCTCTCTCTCTCTCCCCCCCTTCCTTTGCTCCCATGTGGTCCCCCTTCTGCAGTGACAGCCCCCAGCAGCTCTGGGGTTCTCAATTTTCCTTCTGGCCATTCTGGAAGAGAGGACTTTGCTTTCTTAATTCTTCTGACAAACGTTCTAGCCTCTGGCCCTCCCGGTCCTCCTGGGGTGGTGCGTGCTCACTGCCCCAGCTGTGGGTCCCCGAGCAGCAGCGGGGTGGGGGGTGCCCCCCGGCTTCTGAGAGAGGCTCAGGGGGCCCCGAAGGAAAATGCAGACACTGCTGCCCCAGGAGGGGCCCGTGGGGACTGGGCAGGTACAAACCATGTTATCCGCAGCAACCATCTGCTCCATAAATTAATGAGATCATTTTTCTGGAGACATAACGATTATAAGTGGATGTTTCTCAGGTTGTTTTTCTTTAAGTAATCCAATTAATAGTTCCAATATCTCCCATGTCATCTGTCCTCACTATTAATTGGCGAGATGTAGCTCTTTCCCGGAGGCCAGGCAAAGGGGAACCCCCCTCCATCTGTCTCAGCGATCGGAGCACGTGGCCACTGGGCCTCCCGCCACCCACCGCCTGCCCCTGCACGGCGGTCTCCCTCCCACCGGGGCCTTCGTCCCTGTCCACCTGGGAAACGTTGGGTCAGGACCCCCTTTCCTGGCCTTTCCTGTCTCCCCATCCAGGTTGTCACCCCGATGACAAGCTGGTGGGACCGTGGGGGTCACGCCTGTGGTGCAGCCCATCGCTGGCTGGCCTTACCTGAGGTGCCCGGGACGTGCGGGGGGATGGGGCCAGGGGTCCGTTGGTGGCGGACCCTGCTGCCCAGGGCCACGCATCGTCCTGCGCCCTCTGCCGGAGCTGGACAGCGGCCTGCCACCTCCCGGGCCTCCCTGCTCCCTGTGAACCGGGTGGGGGTGCTGGCCTGGCGCTGAGCTTCACTCGAGCCCCGTGGGGCCCGTTGCCCCCCCACCATGATTCTCATGAGAATGAGGAGTAGGGCCTCCACTTACACGTGAGGACACAGGCTCAGAAGGAAAGTTCTGGAAAAGGGTCCAGATCACACTCTCCCCTGTGGAAGGGCTCCGGGAGGGGTGGGCCGCACTGTGGGGCTGCCCCTCCCGCCTGCGGTGGGTGGGTTGCATTTTAAAGCACTGGGGGCTGCCGCTTGCCCAGAGGCAGGCAGGTGGGGGTCTCTTTCCTGGACACAGCAGCCGTGCATGCCCACCCTAACTGTTCCATACCTGCCCCCCGCCCCCAGGATGGGGATGGGGGAGCTTGGATAAGCCCGGCCAGGGCTGGCTGCCGAGGCTGTGGGAGAGACAGGTCGTACCTCTGAGTGGTGGGACGATGGAAAGAACGGTGGGGGCCCCTTCCCAGACCCCCGTAGAATCGCCAAGCACGACCCATCAGTGCACAGCCCGGGCTCCCGCTGCCCCCCTGAGGCTCTGGGTGTGGTGGGGGCCGGCGTGTTTTTGGGGCCCTGGTCCAGAATGGCAGGGGGGGAGGGGACGGGAGGGCTGGTCGGCCACCCCGTTGGGGGGCCCTGAGGGAGGGGCCGAGCGCCAGGTCGAGCCGGGCGCCGGGTGCGTGCCGCGCGGTTCCGGGTTCACAGCGCGCGCTGTCGTTGCAGGCCTGCAGGTACGGCCACGTGCAGCACCTGGAGCACCTGCTCTTCTACGGCGCGGACATGGGGGCCCAGAACGCCTCGGGGAACACCGCCCTGCACATCTGCGCGCTCTACAACCAGGTCAGTGCTGTGCGGCGCTGGTCAGGCCCCGCCCCCACGTCCGCACAGATGCCCCGCCCCACGTCCGCACAGATGCCCCGCCCCACGTCCACACAGATGCCCCGCCCCACGTCCGCACAGATGCCCCGCCCCACGACAGCGCGGGCCGAGGGGGGCGGGTCACGGCTTCGCGGGTGCTCGGGGTCCCGTTGAGGCCTGGTCGTGGCCGTGGACGTTCCCCTCTGCCCCTTCTCCCTTCCAGTCTCCTTCCCTGATTTCACGGACCTCGAGTCTGGACCGAAGTTGGTGCGGACGCTGCACTGGGCAGACCGGGGTCGGGGCTCTACCACCTGGAGGGGGCGGGTTAAGGGGCAGATCACTGGTCAGGGTGGCTGCTGGGGGCCCCCGAGGTTCACTCACGCCGCTCATCCCCTCCGCTGTCCCAGTTCCAAGCAAGAAGTCCGTCTTCCTGGGCGATGTCCCCGGCCTTTGCCTAAACCCAAGTCCGTCCCTGCCCCCTCCACGGCCGCACCCGGCCCGGGCCCCTCTGGCCACTCTGAAACCCCACTGTGCTTCTAGCTATTACACCCCGGAAAACTCCCACACACCCTTCAAGACCCAACTCAGACAGCCCGCCCTGAGTTGAGCCTCCCTTGACGAGCCCGTCCTGGAGTTGGTGGGGTCTTCGCTGTGCTGAGCCGAGCTTTGCAAGACCGCCAGGGCCGCCCCCCGCCGGAGCAGGCCGCTGTATGACCAGCCTGTTAACTCCTGCCGGCGCCCCCTCCGCCCTGGGCCACCCCCCCTCGCGGCCATGAGCCACCGCTGCTCGTGGTCCCCACACTCTGCCGGCCTCGAGTGCGGCTCGGCCCGGTGGGGCTGGGGTGGCGCTGGCCCGGCTGCTGGCTTCCTGCTTGTGGAGCCGAGCCCGTGGGCGTGGCAGGCAGGCAGCCGGGCGGCCGCTCGTGCAGACTCGGCACGTGCACCGGAGAGCTTTGGCGGAGGGGAGGTACCCAGCTGCAGTAAAACACACGTCACAGAGCTCGGCGGTGGCGGGCGAGACGTCTGGGCCCACGTGCGCTGCTTAACTGCGCTGCCTCGGAGAAGGGGAGAAGGGGAGAAGGGGGACGTTCCTTCCCTCTCCCCAGTGGGTTTCAAGCCTATTTTGTCGTGAAGGAAAAACACCCAGAACAGACATGTTTTCTGCCACTTGAAATGACATGGGCAAGGTGGCCTTCGAACGCGCAGGTGGTGATTCGAGGTGACGCCGGGGTGGCGGTCCGTATACTGTGTTATCGATGGGGCTGGGCTGGACGGCGGTCACTCGGCTGATGGCTCCACAGGGACCCCGCACTGGCCAGGCTCTCGGGACAACCCCTGGCCCGGCGAGAAGAGGGGTCAGCAGACTCCTGCTGGAGAGGGGCACTCGGCTCTGCCGTTTGGGGTGAACACGGCCGCGGACGTCACTGGGGGAGCGTGAGGCTGTGCGCCCACAACACTTGATCTGCACACGGGCTGCCGGCCGCTGGAGCCTGTGGGCCACAGTTCGCTCAGCCTGGGCTGAGCTTCGGGCCCCCTCGCAGCCCCGGGGCTGAGCCGCTTCCTGTCAACACGCCAGGGACCCTCTGCAGGTGCACGTGCACTGTCCCCTCTCCGGGGGCCCTGGGGCCCTGGGGCAGCCTGCCTATGTTACCCTTCTCTGCAGCACAGGCAGGGATGCCTTGGGCGGCCTCGCCCGTGTTGGACCCCTGCCTTGCCTAGCCTCCCAGGGGCCACCGTGGAGAGTCACAGGCTCAGGGTGTGGTGGCTCTGTGGGCCCCAGATACCCCGGCCAGTTGGGAACTCAGCGAGTGTTCTGAGATCCAGCCTCACGGTCCCTCGTGCCGTCCCTGGGATGTTGGTGTGGTTGCCATTCTCTGTCCTCGGGGGGGCCCCCCGCCCTGACCGTTGGGGTGTCTCACTGATGCAGTGCGAGAAGGCAGCCCGGGGCATCATGGTGTGACTTGGAGAGGCGCCCGTGACGGCTGTCCTAGACGGAGGGAGGTCCCCAGCCTCTGCCCGGTGGGACCTGCCCCCGTGCCCAAGCCGGGCCCTGTCCTACCCGCGTCACCACTGCACGGAGGCCCCATTCCCTCTTCCCCACGCACGGGGGATGCACGCGGCCACCTCAGGCCTGGTGCCGGCGGGAGAGACCACCCGACTTGAAGTGCAAAGGGGCACCACCCAGAGCCCGCTGGGGAGGGGAGTGATGCTGAGCGGTAGGTGGGCCCAGGGCGGGGCCCAGGGGCGCTTCTCTTGGGCCCTGAACTCCGTCCTCTCTGATGTGGGCGTGTTGACACCGAACTCACCCTGAAGCTGAAAACAGAAGACAAGCACGGGTGTGCCCGGCACGCAGCAGCCGCTCGGTGAACGGTGGCTGTAACGGTGGTGGTGGCGGTGGTGACGATGGTGCTGCTGCTGCTGCTGCTGCTGCTGCTGTGCGTGATCAGGCCTCTCTCCTTGTCAAATCGAAAAGCATCCAGGTCTGCGGGTGGGTGGGGGCGGCCTCCTCTGCACGCCCCCCGACCAGGGTGTTTCTCCTCTTCTCCCGTGCAGTCGGCCCATCGGGGCTCCGCGTGTGAGCAGCACGCAGTGCCTGGTCTGCCACCACCCCCACAGCCCCCGGCTGGCTTTCCCGGAGCCCTCGGGGGGCGGGGGGGGGCCTGGAGTTTGGTCCCACCCCCGCCCCGGATAATGAAGGCAGGGAGTGCGCCCTAAACACCACAGGTTCCCAGGCTGGGCCAGATCGTCCGGAAGGTAAAACATCAGCCCTGCCTTCCTGCAGCCCCGAGCAGAGCCGGGCTGCGTTCTGTCCGTGTCTCTGTGCCCACGGAGCACCGGCCAGCTCAGTGGCTGCCTCCCCGGGGCCACCACCGGGGACCGTCTCTGGAACATCAAAGGCACACATCTCACTGGACAGGAGGGGTCCCCCCTGCCTTTCCCCCGGGACCCCCTGCCGGGCCTTTGGGCGCCCATTGTTGGCGGTCCCACGTCACTCGGGCCCGAAGGCCAGGGTGTGTCCTGGGGGGCTCAGCCAGTGAGTGGGGGGCTGGGCTTCCAGCCTCGCCCCCTGTGTCTTCTCCCCGAGACTGTGGGTCACACTCCGGAACCCTCGATCGGGGTGGGGACGGCCTCCTCGGGCACGGGTCAGGCAAAGTCGTCGTCGGCCCCGGCGTGGGCAGGCCGTGGTCTGCGGGTGCAGCTCCTCAGACGGAGCGCCGGTCCTGGGGCCGGGAGCCGGCCCCACGCCGGTGACAGCGGTTCTGCGAGTGACTGTCGTTTCTAACGTCGTCCGTCTTAGCTCTTCTTAGATTCCCATCTACCTGACAGGCTTGTCTGAGAGGGCGGCTCAGCTGGAAATGGATCGCTGACTTAGAGGAGTTTGGAGGGCGGAGCCTTCGCGTCGGTGACATTTAAGCAGAGACCGAGTGGGTGCAGTGGGAGTAAGGAAGCTGGAGAGTTCGTTAAAACCCGGGCTGCAGTGCGTGCACTGGTGGTTTGGGGCTCACCAGCAGCCGGCGTCTGTCCCCTCCCGCTCCCCAGCGGCGTCATCACTGGGTGTCTCTGGGCCACGCTCCTGTTGTCCAGACAGTGACCTCGGGCAGGCCTGTGCCCCGTGGCACCTTCTAGAAAACGTGGGTGGAGCGAACTCCCCCTGAGCTGGGGCGGTGACATCGGAGCCCGGCCCTTCCCCACGGTGCAGACCGACCAGCTGTCTGCCGCTCCGGCCCGCACCCTGGGCCGCCCTCCTGTTCCTCACGATCCCCCTCACCCCAGGTCTTGTCACGTCCCTTCTGTCCCCTCCACCCGGGGGGGACGGGGCTGCCCGTCCCTGCCCAGCCCCGGCATTGTCCCTGGACAGCTGTATTCAGTGCCCAGCAGTCCCCTTCCTTCCGCACTGTGTCCCCTCCAAGCCACTTCCCACTGCACATGCCAGACTGTGCCCCTGACGGAGAGCCCTTCACATGTCCCCGACCGCCCTTGCCCCCCAGCCGGCGTGTCTGCTGCTGCCCTGCACCTCAGCTTCCTGCAGCCTGGCCCCAGGGCCTTGGCACGTGCCACCTTCAGCCGGGAAGCCTCCCTGGACGGACACAGGGCTCTTTTCTGGTTGCTGAGGGCACCTCCTCCGAGAGGGCTTCCCTGACCACCTCCCCCACTCTCTCCAACGCCCGACCCTCTTCTGTTGTCTGCGGGGGCCCCCTGGGGCTCGGACGGCGCCTGGTGTGGCCCGCACCCAAGACTGACTCCTCGCGTGCACGAAGGAACAGGCTTTCTGGCCTGAGTGTTGGTGTGTAAGAGGGAAATGGCGGTGGCGGCCCCGCAGGGCTGGTGCCCGGAGGGAGGGAGCGCGGAGGTGGGGAGGGCGGTGCTTTTGCTAAGGGAGGTGTCTCTGAAGTCACGCCCAGAGGGGCGCCGGCACTGAACTGATGTCCTGCCCGGGGTTTGGTCCTCACAGAATCACAGGGCATGTCACCTCAGTGTCTCTGCTCAGCTGGCCTTTGTAAAAGAGCACAGTTACCTCTGGTGTCCTCAGCAAGGGCTGTAGGAAGGACTCGGCAGCCAGCAGCAGCTGCCTCAGAGTCATTCAGCCCCATCGGGAACCACCCCCCCGGGTCACAGTGTCTCCCCGTCACCCCGCTCCCCTCTGGAAGCCTCGGTTCATCGCTCAGCATTCCTGGGCGCAGCCTCCCGCTCTGGGAAGTAGCCCCCGTGGGCCCCGGCAGGGGGCCCGAGGCTGCATCAGAGTGACAGGCAGGTCTGTTTGCTGAGCTGCAGAGCACACATGGGCGTGCACACACGAGAGCACAGACACGCACATGCCTGCATGCACTGACATGTGTGCATATATGCAAACACGTGCACACAGACACATGGGAGCACACAGCTCCAGACACACACACACGCACGAGTACACACATGTGCAAACACATGGGCACATGCATGCACACAACTCAGACATGCATGTGCCCATGCACTGGATACACATGTGCACAGTGCACAAACATATATACCCATGCACACCCCTGTACACATCCCCACACCCCCGAAGCGTAATGGTCACTGAGCCATGTGAAGCACTTGTCTCTTCTTTTTGACTCAGAGTAAAGCCTTTAAGGTGTGTGATGGTTTTTCTGGGGTCCTGGCTGGGTCCCCCCTGGGAGGGTGTGAACGGCTGGCTGCGCCTGGCGCCTGGCGAGGACCCATTCTCGCGTTCGCAGGAAGTGCGTGTCCTTTGGGGTGGGGTGTGCGTGGAGTCTGAGCGAAGCGCTCCTGGGCAGGAGGGGGCATTTGCAAGGGTTTGAGTCAGGGTCCCAGGCACCTCCCCTCCCCCTCAGGGCTCTTGTGTTCTGGGTTCTGATTGGCTGGTGGCCCCCACCCGCCACCCCTCACTGGCCCCCCAGGTTGCCCACTGCCCCCTGAGCCTGGCGGGCACACGGAGGCCCCCCCTTCCCTGGGTGCAAACTCAGTTCAAGGTGAGGCCCGGGGGCAGCCTCCACGGCCCCTGAGTCCCCCTGCTTGCCTCCCCAGGTGGGTGGCGCTCCCTTCTCTCTTGCCTGTCCCCCCACATGGTGACCTGCCGAGACCCCCCCACCCCCGTGCCCTGCGCCCCCACCCGCCTGCACCTCTCCACTTTCTCTCCTTTCCCCTCTCTTCTCGCCACTGTCTGTGCACTGAGCGTGATGAGGGCTTTTTAATTAGCTCGGTTAATTTACGTTGGGTGGTGAGAAACAGGTCCCAAGGAGGAGTAACCTGAGGGGAGAGGGGGGATCTGGGGCGGGCTCTGGGGGCTGGGGCAGAGTCGGGGGGCCAGAGTCCTCCTAAGACTTTATTTTCAAAGCCAGCTGGGCGGGCGGGGTCTGGCCCCAGGCTGCAGTCTCCACCTGGGTCCCAGGTGTGTGGCCTCAGGCAGGGTTTCCCGCTTGTCACCGCTTGAACTGATGCTTGGACTAACGCCAGGGCTCTTAAAACACCGAACGCACGAACCCCCGGGTTCATTGTCCCCCAAATCCCCGGATGAGGAGAGCCGTGTTTGCCCAGCAGTTTTGTCCTCTTCACTGTTCTCGTTCCTCAAAGCATCACATGAACGCAGCTCGCGGGAACAATGCGGGCGGTGTAGGTGGGGGTCTCAGGCGGCCCTGCTCGCAAGCCCCGGGGGGTGCTGTGGTCCTGTCCCGGCTGCGGGGCACTGGGGCGATGGGGGCGCCATCTGCCTGCTCTTTCGCACCCAGCCTGGGTGCCTGCGAGATCCTCATGCCTTCTTGCTGCTGGGGTCCCACCAGTCCTCATTCCTCTGCCCTCCTGACGGGTGGGCCCCCACGTCGTGGTCCCAGACCCCCTCTTCCCCCACGGCCACCCCGGTCTCAGACCGGCCTGAAGCCGTGCGCACCCTGGGTGCACGGGTGACTTTTCACAGACGGCGACCTCAGTCCACCGCCTGGTGCAGCTGAGTCCCGGGCCGGCAGCCCGAGGACACAGAGGCAGGTGGACCTAGGTCTGCGGAGCTCAGAAGCACTCCGCCCGTGGCCATGGGGCGTGCAAGCAGCCACCCCTCTCAGGCTCCGAGCCGCAGCTCAGAGGACAGGGGCCCTGGGCCTCCATGTCCCTCTGCTCCCTCTAGGAGGGGTTCCCTCCTTCATCTCCTCTCCAGGCGCAGACCCCTATCCCAGGGTGCAGGGACGGAGCGGCCTCTGCTGGCTGCTGCGAACTTGCTTGCCCACCCTTGGTTTGGGGTCCCAGGGAAGGGCACCCTCGGTGTGGCTCCGCCGCTGTCTCTCGCTCCTTCTTCTCTCATCTCGGACACCGTCCTGAGCAGGGGCCTCGCACGCCGTGTGGTGAGCCCGGCTGACACGCACCGAGCGGTTCGGTCCGTCCCCATGGCCCCGCGACCCTCAGCGCAGTCGGCCTTGCTGCGTCGTCATCCCCCCCCAGACAGGAACCCACGGGTCACCCCATGCCCCCCCGCCCTCCCGGCCCTAGGCAGCCTCTCGTCCACCGTCTGTCTCTCTGTCCAGCTTTCGTCCTAGCCCCGCCGTTCTTCCGGGCCCTGTGGCCCCTGCGGTGTGGGCTGGCCTTGCCCCCTGCCTTTCCTCAGGATGGCAGGTCCCCTCTGGCCTGCGGAGGGGACACGGGCCTCCCATCCTCCGCAGCCCCCCCGGGTGTGGTAGGTTCTCCATGCAGCAGCTCCTTCCCAGGCGCGGGGCTGGGTGCCGTGCCCGCTGCCCCTGCCCCGCACCCTGTTGGCGAAGGCGGGAAAGCCCAGATGGCCCAGTGCAGGGGTGGGGCGGTGACTCCCACAGGCAGGCGGTGGCCAGGGTGGGGGGGGTGTCCTCTGTGCCGCTGCCCTGCCTCCCCACCCTGGACGCGGGGACACCAGCAGGCACGCAGTCTTTTAAAGGCTCTTTGAAAAGCGGCCAGGTGTTCTTAGCGCGTGATTCTGCCTCCGCGTGCCCCGGACTGTCTCCTCACTGTCTCGTCCCGCCCTCCCCGTGGTGGTGAGTTTCAGTGGGGTGGGCGGGGGGCGGCCGTTCTGTGCTGGCCGCCCTGGGCACAGAGTAGGTGCTCAGTTAAAGGGACAGGACTAGAGTTCTTCTCGCTGTAAAACCACACACGAAACGAGTACCATCAGCCTTTAAAGAACACGGAGGCACTCAGTGCAGAACGTGGTCCAATGAGAAGGTCGCTCTGATTGCCCCCTGACCCCTCCTGCTTCCCGCGGAGGGAGGCCCCGCCCACGGGCCACGTGGTGCACACTGTGTTTCTCCGCAGGAAAACTGCGGGGGCCGAGAAGCTGAGTCACCGTTCTGAGACCTGCGTTTCCCGCCCAGACGTGCTTGGAAACATTTCTCGTGGGTTGTTAGCAACCCACCTGTTTTGTCCCACTGCTGCCTTGGGGAGGAATGTTCTAGAAGGCACTCCCAGTTTCCCCGATTCTCGAACACCGAGGCCGCGGCCCGGTTGTCTGTTCCTGTTTTTGTTTTCGGGTTTCGCGCACGGCCTTTCGCTGGCGGTGCGTTCTCCCACGTGCGCCGGGCTGCGGGGTGCGGACTTAAGAAGCGCCACGGTTTGGCACGCGGAGCACGTTTCACGTTGTTATGGACTCTGCCACGTTGTCCAAAGTGTTTGCAGCAGTTAAACGTTATCACCTGACGCCAGGTGCGGGCGGGGGTCGCCCGATCCTGGCGGGGGGAGGGGAGTGAACTTTGCCCTCCCTCTGAAGTCTGCACTCGCGTCCTGGAGTCCGCATGCGCGAGAGCCCACCCCCCGCCCCCGCCCGGCCCCGCCGGCTCGGGCAACGCTCTGCCGCCCTCTCACCCGCGGTTTCTTGTGTCCCGTGCAGGACAGCTGTGCGCGGGTGCTGCTGTTCCGGGGCGGCGACAAGGAGCTGAAGAACTTCAACAGCCAGACTCCGTTTCAGGTGAGGAGGGCTCTGGGAGACACAGAGACGCTGACCGCCCGCCCGGGCGTGGCGGAGGAGGGGCGGCTGCTGGCTTCCGCGCGCCCGACCGCGTGTTAGTCCCGAGGTGGGCCCGTGCGGCGGCGGACGTTGTCTGTGTTTGGGGGCCGCGCCCCTGGGCCTCTGTGTCCCAGTGCCGGGGCAGCTGACATGTGTCTGGCCTGTCACCCGACGTCCTCCCGTCAGAGCCCACGGTGCGTGTGGGGGACACTTGGATGCCTCCAGGGCGCCTCACGGACCGGCTGCCTTCGCCCCCCGCGCCCCCCCCCCCCCGTGCACTTGCTGTGATGTGCTGGCTCTGCTGCCCGGCCTTCCCTCGGGGGCTGATTTGTGACAGTCTCGTGGGAGGTGGCTGGTCGTCCATCTGGCCCCCCCCCCGCTGGGGCTGCCCCCCCCACCCCCCGGAGCCGAGGGCGAACCCGGGCGCTCCGCAGCAGAGCGCCCCAGCCCGGGTTCCGGTGGATTTTACTTGCGGTGAAATGTGTGTGACATAAATGAACCATTTCAACCGCGTGGGAGCGGCCACTTCCGCGGCCATGAGCACATTCACGGCGCGGTGGTAGCTGCAGGGCTGTGCGGTTAAGTCTCGTGCGTCGCTCCCCACGAGCCCCAGATCCGCGCCCCCCCGCCCCGCCTCTCTGCGTCCCGCCCCGCCCCCTGCGCCCCGCCCCCTCCGGGCCCCGCCCCTCCGCGCCCCGCCCCCTCTGGGCCCGCCCCGCCCCCTCCGGGCCCCGCCCCCTCTGGGCCCCCACCCTGCCCCTCTGCGTCCCGCCCCCTCCAGGCCGCGCCCCACCCCCTCTCTGGGCCCCGCCCCCAGACAGCTGCTAACCCGCTTCCTGTCTCTGCGGACTGGCTGTTCTGCACGTTCAGTCCGGGCGGAAACACGCCCTGCGCGGCCGCCCGTGTCTGGCCGGAAACACGCCCTGCGCGGCCGCCCGTGTCTGGCCACCAACGTCACGCAGCGGGATGTCTTCAAGGCCATCCGTGTCGCAGCGTGTGTCAGTGGGCACTGCCCCGTGTAACGGCGTGGGGCCCCTCTCGTGGCAATGCAGCTGACCAGGTGAACATGGAAGCTTCAGCTCTGGGCTCCATGTCGCAGACACGCGTGTGGGTCCCGGCGAACACGGGCAGGCACCGACTTCACGTGGGACGGCCCCGGCCCCTTGGGGCGGAGCGCCCGGTGGCGGTCCCAGCTTCAAGACCGTGAAACAGTGTATTCGATGAGCCCTTTCTTCTGAAAGTCGGGGTGCTGCTTTGGTTGCTTGGAGACCGCCGCAGCGCCCTTTGCTCCGAGGGCAGCGAGCTGGGCTAACAGGAGGGCGCTGTTTCTAATTCGCTGTCACGAGTTCTGGGCAGTGGCTCGTGACCGCCACGTGGCGCCCCCGGGAGTGAGTGCATGTGGCAGTCAGCAGGAAAGGTCACGTGGGAGGCCACCCTGTCAGTCCCCATTCCTGTCTCCCGCCACGGGGACGGGGTCCGGGACCCCCCTCTTTATGGGCCTTCTGGCAACAGGCTCGCACCCCCGCCGCCACCCAGGGCCATCTGTCCCCGCTTCTCTAGTGAGGGTCAGTCAGTCACGTGCCACCGCTGGCTCTGGAAGGCAGTCGCGTAAAACACACTTGAGTAAGGAGACCGAGCGCCCTGCCGACAGGGAGAGTGTGGCGACCAGCGGGGTTGAAAGCCGGGCTGCGAGCTCTCTGGGGAGGCCCGGGAAGGACGGGTCCGGCTGTGTGTCCGGCTGGTGTCCCTCCTCGGGCCTCCTGCCTTGTCGGGTCTGAGTGACCTGAAGGGGCTTCGTCCAGTCTGCGGTGTCTCCCGCCTCGGGTGCAGACACCCCAGCTCTGGTTTCTGGCTCACGGTTCCTCTCTCTGACGACGACAAGGGAATCCCGGCTGTGTCTGTGGGGAAGACGGCTCGCCGCGTCCTTGACCGGGATCAGCCGCGTTCGCCCGGCGACGCCATGCTGCTCAGCAGCCACGGCGAGTGTGGGCCTCTGAGAAACCTCCGGGTGTCCGGCGGAGTTTGTCCGGCTGAGCTTTTGCCTCAGGATGGATGTGAGGCCGAGGCTGAGCCGGCAGCATCGGCGGGAGTGAGGAGCCTGGGACACGGCCCGCCCTCAGGTCCCCCACCCCTGGCTCCCCCGGCTCGGGTGTGAGACGGGGTGAGTTTTTTAAGGAGGAGAGCGTTGCCACACGACTTGGGTGCACCGTCACAACGAGGGTGGTGGGCCCAGACGGCCCTTGCCAAGTGCCCCCTGTGGGGCGGGTTCGACCACAGACGTCTGTTTCTCGCAGCTCTGGCTGGAGGCCGGGAGTCAGGTCACGGTGCCGGCAGAGCTAGTCCAGGGGTCGGCTTGTCGGCAGCCGCTCACTCGAGGCCTTTCTTCTGCGCGCACACGTGGGGGGAGGGGGTGGGGGAGAGACTGGGCAGAGCTTCCTCCTCCTCTCGTAGGAACCACAGTCTCACCTCCTCAGGGCCCCACCCCATGACCGCTTTTAACTTCATGAGCTTCCTGAAGGTCCCTCCCCAGACGGACACCGTCACAGCGGGAGTTAGGGCTCCCCCGTGTGGGTTTGGAGAGGGCGCTCTTAGCGATGCGGATGGAGGTGGTGATGATGGTGGTGATGGTGTCAGTGATGATGATGCTGGTGATGGTGATGGTGATGATGGTGGTGATGGTGATGATGGTGGTGATGATGGTGATGGTGATGAAGGTGGTGGTGATGGTGATGATGGTGGTGATAGTGATGATGGTGGTGATGAAGGTGGTGGTGATGAAGGTGGTGGTGATGGTGATGAAGGTGGTGGTGGTAATGGTGATGAAGGTGGTGGTGGTAATGGTGATGAAGGTGGTGGTGGTGATGATGATGGTGGTGGTGGTGGTGGTGATGTTGGCAGTGGTGATATCATGGTGGTGACCGTGTTGGTGTGGTGATGATGTTGGATTTGGTGGTGTTGATGGTGGTGGTGATGGCAATGTTGGTGGTGATGATGATGGTGATGGTGGTGGTGATGTTGGTGATGTTGGTGGTGATGGTGGTGATGGTGGTGGTGGTGATGGTGGTGGTGGTGATGGCAATGTTGGTGGTGATGATGATGGTGATGGTGGTGGCAATGTTGGTGGTGATGGTGGTGGTGGTGATGGTGGTGGTGGTGATGATGGTGGTGGTGATGGTGGTGGCAATGTTGGTGGTGGTGGTGATGGTGGTGGTGGTGGTGATGATGTTGACAGTGGTGATATCACGGTGGTGATGGTGTTGGTGTGGTGATGATGTTGGATTTGGTGGTGATGAGAACAATGATGATGAATCCGCTTGCACAGAAGATGAAAGCTCACAAACTCTCTTCCTGTATGTTTATTTAATGAATAACAACCAGATGAGGTTGGCGTTTTCATCCCAGTTGACAGGAGGCGTGGACTTAGGGAGATGGGCGCCAGGATTTCAGAAGCACTCAGTGGCCGAGACTGGGGTCCGGGCCCCTCACTTGCAGGCTGGCGCCCCAGGGTGTGGGGCGCGGGTGGAGGCAGGGGGCAGTCCCGTCTTGCTTCCTGGTGTGGAGTGAACCTCGGGGTCCTTTACTTCTCGAATGGCTCAGCCCACGGGCGCAAACACACCCTGATTCTGAAGATGAAGAGACACAGAAGCCCGTGGAAGAATCCCGAAGCCATGGAAGCCCTAGGCGAAGGGGAGGGCGGTGAGGGAGAGAGGCAGGAGCGGCTGCTGGAACTCGTCATCCCACCAGCACCTACCGAGTCCCAGCCAGAGCCTCCCTGTCTCCCGGGCGCTGGGGAAACGCCAGTGACCACGGCGCCCCTGCTCTCGTGGACTGAACGCCAGTCAGACTGATCACGAGCAGGGACACAGACAGACGTCTGAGGTGTCGGGGCTGGTAGGCGACGGGAAGGGAAATACGGTGGGCTGAGAAGAGTGGACCGGAATCGGGGGGGGGGTGGTGCTGTGGCAGGAGGATCTTCCGACATGTGAGCGGAGACCAGGGAGTGGGCCGTGCAGGTGCCTGGGGGAAAGCATTCTGGGAAAGGGACTGGCATGTGCCAAGGGCCTGGGGTCAGGGTGCGCCTGGTGTGTGTGAGGAGCGGTGAGGGGGGCAGCTGGCCGGGGGAGCAGGGTGGGGGCGGCCAGGGGCCGTGTGATAAGGCACGGCCTTAGGGTTCAGTCTGCGTGAGACGGGAAGAATCCACAGGGCAGAAGAAAACTCTGAAACGGAAGTGAACCCGTCCCTGCAGCCGACCCCGGTCACGATCCCGCGTGAGAGCAGCTGGTGCTGTTGGCGGGTGAGGAATGCGACGGAAACCGGTGGAGATCACGACCGGGGCCTCTGGAGCCAGCACAGTGTCCGCGGCTGCGCTCTGCAGCCCGGAGGCCACAGGACTCACCGGGTCCCCAAGTGAAATGATCACTGAGTGAAACTTCAAGTTCAGTCCCTCGGTCACATGACCTGTATTTCAGGTGATGGGTGCCCCCCCACCCTCCCGCATTGGCCCTCGCTGCCCTGGAAGCCCCCGGGGTTCTCCCGTCCCTTGCACCGCAGTTCCGGTGGCGAGGCCCTTCAACGAGTTTCAACTACTCAGTGTGTCCCCCTGAGCAAACAGCGTCCAGCCACCCCTGAAACTGTCCTCCCGCCAGGGCACGTGGGCGAGGCCGGGGCTGGTGCCCGAGGGGCCCCCCTGCAGGCGCCACCGTCCGAGCGCACGCTCCCTGCCGGGCTGTGCGGAGGTCGCGGGCGGGGGCGGGTGGGGGCATGGGGAACCGGCCCGTCGTGCGCAAGGAAGGAGAGTCAGGGAACCGGAGGCAGCGTGTCAAGAACTAAGACTTAACGGAATGAAATCAAGACGGAGCCCCAGGATCGTGCTACTTAGAAACAGGAGATGCAGCCCCGAGAAGCCGCTGAGTGTGGGCCGTGGTTGGGGTGTGGACGGGGCTGGGCAGAGCGGCAGCTGC